CCAGAATTTTTTTTAAAAAAAATTAATCATATATTCCTCGTATTTGAATTTGTAGTTATTATTATTGAGTTATTAGTTTTATAATAGTCAAAATATTGTCAAGTTCTATAATAGTCAAGATAGGTATAAAAAACTATGTCACATATATTTTATTTATTGTATATATGACACGACCCCACTTACACTATACTACTAACGTCAATTCACATATACGTAAACGATAAACATGCTATAATCCCTCTTAATTACTTACATATATAACAACACCATACAACTTCTAAAATAGACGTGATATAGAACAACAGAAGCAAAACAAGCCACAGTCTTGCCCACAAGTCGTCATCTATGTACACGGTAACTCAAAATGCCTGCAAGAGCGCCATGGCTACTACAGTTTGACCATTAAGTCATATATCATCAGGATTATCTACAATGCATAAACTGAGTGAGATTTATAAATCTCCGTAAGTAGAAATTATGCACGATGTGAAGTTTATCTTAAAATTCTCAATATGCAGAATGTGCTCTCGTTTGAAATCACCAATTTATTTATGAAATACTCTCTAGGGCCCCTAGACACACTGCTATATACCGGAAAGAGCTCAATATCCACATATTCAAATCAAACGGTGGCCTACATCAGGTAGCCTACATCGGGTTTCCTCGTAAGGTTTCCCCGGGTCGCTTCTTCCCAGGTTGCCTCTTTCGAATGCATTGTTTAAGCATTGTATGTAAAGTCACAATAGACGGTGGCCTACACCAGGTTTCCCCAGGTCGCCTCTCCCGCCCTCGGTGTATAATCAGCGGTCTAACATAGTAAAATCATCTTATTTCATTTCAATGCATGATATGCATGCTTAACGAAAATGCAAAGCAACATACTTCATAATATACATATATTATTGAACTCACTGGTTCAAACCACATCAATTTTGGAGCTCACAAACTCCTTCAACATCAAATATAGAGTTCACAGGCTCAACCATATCACATACAGGGCTCACAGGCTGAAACCAATTTATATACGGAGATCGCAGGCTCAAACCACATAATCACATAATATTAATCTCATATTATAGTTTTCTTATATTCACATATTATCAATCAAACATAAATAACTCGCAAAATAATATATTTATGCATTGTAGTTGCAAATGAATTTCTACTTACCTGAAATTCGCCAAAAATGTCAATAACCCCAACTCTTAAAGCCCTTTTTCCCGATTCCAGTACTGTATCTAAAAACAATTAATTACAAATATTAAATAATTATTTCTACTCAAAACTTCATCTACTTAGTAAAATAGAAATAATTTGTGAACGTGAAAAAATACCTGAACTAGGCTTTAACGAAATTCGGCGTAAATTTTTTTTTTTTTTTCTTCGCGTTGCCTTTCTTCCTTGCTCCTTCTGCAATTGAGAGATATGGATTTGGTTGATGAGGTGGTGGGATGGGGATTATTAGCCCCTCCCCACCACCTTAATTTATTTATTTTATTATTATTATTATTATTATTATTATTATTATTATTATTATTATTAGTTTTACCTGGGTGATAGTTGATCACACAGTCATAATCATTCACAAGTTCTAACCATATTCGTTGTCTCATATTCAATTCTTTCTGAGTGAAGAAATATTTCAGACTCTTGTGATCGGTATAGATCTCGCAACGTTCACCGTACAAGTAATGTCTCCAGATTTTGAGCACAAACACCACGGCTGCTAACTCCAGATCATGTGTAGGGTAGTTCTTTTCGTACTCTTTCAACTGTCGAGAGGCATAAGCGATAACTTTATCGTTCTGCATCAATACACACCCAAGACCATTATTCGAAGCATCACTGTAAACTATAAAACCTCCAGTCCCGGTTAGGATTGCTAAGATAGGAGCTGATGTCAATCGTCTCTTTAATTCTTGAAAGCTTTGTTCACATGATTCTGTCCATTTATATGTCACATTATTCCTGGTCAATTGTGTCAAAGGAGAAGCAATTTTAGAGAAGCCTTCCACAAATCTATGGTAATATCCTGCCAATCCGAGAAAACTACGCACTTCTGATGGATTTGTAGGTTGTGGCCAGTTATTAATGGCTTTAACTTTGCTTGGGTCAATTGAAATTCCTGCTCCCGATATCACATGTCCCAAGAATACAACTCGATCTAGCCAGAATTCACATTTCTTGAACTTTGCATACAACTGTTTCTCTTTTAGTGCTTCTAACACATTCCTCAAATGCATCCATGCTCTTCTTCAGTCTTGGAATAAATCAAAATATCGTCAATAAATACAATAACGAATGTCTAGAAAGTCTTTGAACACCCGATTCATCAGGTCCATGAACACTGCTGGGGCATTTTTCAGTTCAAATGGCATTACTAGAAATTCATAGTGCCCGTATCTCGTACTAAATGCTGTTTTGGGAATGTCTTCTGCCTTTATCTTCAATTGATGATACCCAGATCGCAAATTAATCTTCGAAAAGATAGTTGCACCTTGTAGCTGATCGAAAAAATCATCGATTCGGAGTAAAGGATATTTATTCCTGATCGTGATTTTGTTCAATTCTCGGTAATCGATACACATCCTCATCGTGCCGTCTTTCTTTCAAACAAACAAGACTGATGCTCCCCAAGGTGAGAAACTAGGACGAATGAAACCTTTATCTAGTAGTTCTTGCAGTTGTACTTTCAATTCTTTCAATTCATTCGGCGTCATTCGATATGGTGATTTAGAAATAGGTGACACTCCAGGTTGTAGCTCAATCACAAATTCAATTTCGCGATCTGGTGGTAGCCCTGGAAGATCATCTGGAAATACCTCAGGATATTCTCGCACTACTGGCACATCACCAACAGTAGGACACTGTTTCCCCTCGACACCCATCACACTTATCAAATAGCCTTCACAACCACTTTCCAGTAATTTTTGTGCCTTAATAGCTGATATTATAGGAAATTTGAAACGCTTCTTCATCCCGATAAACGAAAATGGTTCTTCACCCTCACACTGAAATACAATACTCTTGTTTTGACAGTCGATTGTAGCACCATATTTCGATAACCAATCCATACCCAATATCACATCATAATCATTCATGTCCAGCACAATCAAATCAGCATGTGATTCTCTACCTTCTATAAGAATAATACATCCTCGCAGGATCTGATTCGTTCGTTTTGTATCACCGGAAGGAATCATCACATCGAATTTAGCCTCAGTTAAGTTAGGTGTTCTACCAAATTTTCTCACATACTCAGTGGATGCAAAAGAATGTGTAGCCCCAGAATCAAATAACACATAAGTCAAAGTACCGAGATAGAAAGCTTATCGGTGATAACTGGATTTTCTTATGCATCTTTCTTTGTCAACGTAAAAACTCGCGCTGGTACTCTCCCTTGGTCCTTTTGTGCTCTCGGACACATACTAGTCATATGTCTCCTTTGTCCGCAAGAAGAAAAAGTTTTTGGTTTGTAACGAAAGATCCCAAAATGTGGTTTACCACAATTTCGACACAGAGGTCGTGGTAGTGGCGGCGGTAGTGGTACTCCTCTTTGTTCCACCCTGGGACGTTTATCTGGTCCTCCTTGTTCAGGTCTCTGTCATTTTCGGGGTTGGAATGGTCGTGGTGGTTGAGGTTACCATGCCCTTTTTCTATTATTTCCACCCCACTGTGGTGCTTGCCGCTGCTGAAAATGACGTCTCATCTTTTGTGCATGTTTTATTCGTACCTCAGCTTGTTCAGCAGTTTGTGCTCTCTCTGCAACTTATGCATAAGTCATTCCTTGAGTTCCCGCCATACCCACATCTCTATAAAGCTCAGGCCCCAAGCCTTCAAGGAATCTCTCCACTTTTAATACTTCAGTACTGACCATGTGTTCCGCAAACCTAGATAACTGCTCAAATTTAGAGAGGTAGTCTGTAACAGTCATGGTTCCCTGTTTCAACTGTATGAATTCATTCATCTTCATGATTCTGACTGGAGCAGTGAAGTATTTATTTCTGAAAATCTCATTGAACCTCTCCCAGGTCATTACAGCAACATCTTCGATACTTTTGACTGTGTCCCACCAGTGTTCCGCACTACCACGTAACATGAAGGAAGCACACAAAACCTTCTCTGTATCTGGAATTCTGCTATATTGGAACATATTGTTTTAAGTTGTCAACCAATCTTCAGCAGCCAAAGGATCGGTAGCATCTTCAAAGATTGGTGGATTCAGTTTACGGAATCGCTCGCACTCCAACTCAACAAGCTCTGTTCGCGGTTGTGGTTGATTAACATCAGTATGTTGGTTTTCCGCATTTCTTTGTTCAATAAGTTGTTGAATCTGTTACGCTTGAAGTTCAACTAAGTCTGTCAGCCGAGCTATAACAACACCCGATCAACACCAGCAATCGGTGTTGTCTGCTCAGGCGTTCTTTCCATACCACTACTTTCACCATGTTCTCTCTTCATATCTATTCAACAATACCACCCGTCCTGAACCACATGGACAGTATAATTCATAGTACATATAATGTAGGAAGAAGAAATAACTTGACTTTAGCCTACTAAACATGTACCCGATTCGTTTCACATTCGTATTATTCATAGTATACCATATATAAGATAATTAAAATTGCTTATATCCAAACTTTAAACGCAGACCTAAACTCATAAGTACCATGACTACCACACATGTATTGTGCCTCAATACACATGCACAATCACACATGCTCACGAGCACACACTGCTGCAGTCAACGACTCAATGACAGCGATCAAACAATAGCATTTTAGTAACAGTAGCATTTTGTAGAAGTACAGTAGTAGGAATCATTTTACCACATATCATCTTCTTTAATTTTGAAACACAGAGAGCACGTAACATGGAAGCCAATCGCCATTCATTATAAAATCATTTAATAACCAACAATTCATTTTCAAGTAAAGTCTAAAGTCAATATAATTCATGATACACAAATATAAAAAAAAATAAATAAACACTTACTGGGTATAGCGGGGCTCTCTCTCAAGTTCTGAGCTCGTGTACATAGACAGTCTACAAGAAGCTAACCGTGCTCTGATACCACTCTGACACGACCCCACTTACACTATACTACTAACGTCAATTCTCATATAAGTAAACAATAAACATGTTATAATCCCTCTTAATTACTTACATATATAACAACACCATACGACTTCTAAAATAGACGTAATATAGAACAACAGAAGCAAAACAAGCCACGGTCTTGCCCACAAGTCGTCATCTATGTACATGGTAACTCAAAATGCCTGCAAGAGCGCCACGACTACTCCAGTTTGACCATCAAGTCATATATAATCAGGATTACCTACAATGCATAAACTTAGTGAGATTTATAAAAAAATCTCCGTAAGTAGAAATTATGCACGATGTGAAGTTTATCTCAAAATTCTCAATATGCAGAATGTGCTCTCGTTTGAAATCACCAATTTATTTATGAAATACTCTCCAGGGCCCCTAGACACACTGCTATATACCGGAAAGAGCTCAATATCCACATATTCAAATCAAACGGTGGCCTACACCAGGTAGCCTACATCGGGTTTCCTCGTAAGGTTTCCCCGGGTCGCTTCTTCCCAGGCCGCCTCTTCCGAATGCAATGTTTAAGCATTGTATGTAAAGTCACAATAGACGGTGGCCTACACCAGGTTTCCCCAGGTCGCCTCTCCCGCCCTCGGTGTATAATCAGCGGTCTAACATAGTAAAATCATCTTATTTCATTTCAATGCATGATATGCATGCTTAATGAAAATGCAAAGCAACATATTTCACAATATACAGATATTATTAAACTCACTGGTTCAAACCACATCAATTTTGGAGCTCACAGACTCCTTCAACATCAAATATAGAGTTCACAGGCTCAACCATATCACATACAGGGCTCACAGGCTGAAACCAATTTATATAGGCTCAAACCAGATAATCACATAATATTAATTCCATATTATAGTTTTATAATATTCACATATTATCAATCAAACATAAATAACTCACAAAATAATATATTTATGCATTGTAGTTGCAAATGAATTTCTACTTACTTGAAATTCGCCAAAAACGTCAATAACCCTAACTCTTAAAGCCCTTTTTCCCGATTCCAGTATCGTATCTAAAAAAAATTAATTACAAATATTAAATAATTATTTCTAATCAAAACTTCCTCTACTTAGTAAAATAGCAATAATTCGTGAACGTGGAAAAATACCTGAACTAGGATTTAACGGAATTCGGCATAATTTTTTTTTTCTTCCCGTTGCTTTTCTTCCTTGCTCCTTCTGCAATTGATAGATATGGATTTGGTTGACGAGGTGGTGGGATGTGGATTATTAGCCCCCCCTACCACCGCCTTAATTAATTTATTTATTTTATTATTATTATTATTATTATTATTATTATTATTATTTATATCTATTATTATTATTATTTTATTTATTCTATTTATTTTATTTCTATTTAATTATTACAATTAATTTTCAAGTTATCTATATTTAATTTACATCACTAATATTTAAATAATTTACTCAACCTATTTGTATCCTACTAGAATATCAGATAAATTATGATAATATTTTCTTATTAATAAAAAGATAAAGCATATACCAAATTATAAACAATTTAACATTCAATAATAAAATAAATAACCTAACATCACAAGTGACATATAAATAATATAAAGTGCACTCAAAGCATGAATTAAATTCAACTAATTATAAATTAACACATAAATAATATAAACATAACATATAATTAAACAATTAATACTCAAGTAAACTAATGTATGCAACTCATGAAGTATATTTAAACTACCACAAATTAACATATAAGTAATTTACTAGCACCTAAAATATGAAATAAATATTGGCCAATAAGTAGTGAGAAATTCGGGTATCACAATATATGATTAATATAATTTTTATTTTTGTAGAATTTATTATTATATTTGTCGTTGATAGTATTTAAAAAAAAATTATTTGTTTATAGGGCCTATTATTTAATTTTTGCTCAGGGCCCTAATAAAACCCGAGACGGCCCTGATCATGTGTCCACTTCATTGCCTATACAGACGGCTAACGGGAGTCGCATGGATATTACTCATTCAGCATCTGTGTATCTACCATTTATCTCACTTTCTGATACTTATTGTATTCCTCAATTGACTTTAAATCTTGTATCAGTTGGCCAACTAGTTGAGCAGGAACTTACTGTTACTTTTTTTTCTTCTGGTGTGCAGGTTCAGAATCCACGTACGGGTCAAATTCTTGGGACAGGTTGAAAAGTTGGTCAACTATTTGACGTACAGTATTTGAAAATCCCTCCCTGTAATTTCTCTGTTGATAATACTCATACCCCTCTTCCTATCCTTCCTTCCCCTAGTCTCCAATGACACATTTGTCTTGGTCATGCGTCTTTATCTAAAATCCAGTCTCTCGTTAGTAAGGGTCATTTGGGTTCTACTCGTTTTGAGTCATTTAATTGCTTACACTGTCATTTGGGAAAACAACCAGTCTTATCCTTTTTAGAAAATATATCAGTCGCAAGTAAACCATTTTCCTTGGTTCATTCTGATATTTGGAGTCCTTCCCATGTTCTCTCTATGAGTGGGTGCCGTTATTATGTCATTTTCATAGATGATTACTCATGTTTTATATTGATATATTTTTTGAAACACCGCTCAAAATTACCTCAAATCTACATTCAATTCTCTCAAATGGTTAGAACTTAATTTTCCTGTTCTATACAGACCCTCCGTACTAATAATGGACTTGAGTATAGAGATTCTACCTTATTAAGTTTTCTTTCTGCTCAATGTACATTGATTTAGTGTTTCTGTACATACACCTCTCAACAAAATGGTCGTGCTGAGCGCAAATATTGTCACATTCTAGATACTGTTCGTGCGTCTCTTTTGTCTGCCTCTTGTCCTGATAGGTTTTGGGGGGAAGTTGTCTTCACTGTTGTTGATACCATAAATAGTATTTCATCATCTGTCCTCCACAATAGCACTTCTTTCGAGCCTCTATATGGTCAACCACTCGATTATAGGTTCATTCGTCCATTCGGTTGTGTCAGTTTTGTCCTTATCCCTCCATATGAACCTTCCAAATTGGAACTTCGTGCGTGTTTATGTTGTCTTCTTGGTTATGGGGTAGAGCATAAAGGTTATAGGCTTTGGGATCCGATCTCTAAACGATTGCGTATTATCTCGTCATGTTACCTTTTGGGAGAGTGTTATGTCTTTCACCCTGTCTAAATTTCATATCTCATTTATTTCTAGTTCACTTTCCTTTTTCGGTGTGTCCTTCCTTGTTTCCTGATCCCGATCCTACGATTTCATCTCCGCCTCGGATCCTATTCCACCTCCAGTTAAGACTTTTGATCCACCTCCGACCTTGTCTCCAGATGTTGATCCGTCTGTGGTGTCTGGATCTGTCATACCTCGTCGATCACATTGAGTAAGTCACACTTCTGCTCATTTGCGTGATTATCATTGTTACTCTGTCATATTATCTTATCATGAGCCTAGGTCATTTCGTGAGCCGAGTGTTGATCCATTGTGGCAGCAAGCTATGACTGAAGAATTGCAGGCTCTGTAAAAGACTCACACTTGGAATTTAGTGGATTTGTCTTCTGGCAAGACACCTGTTGGGTGCAAGCGGGTTTTTAAAATATAAACTGATGGTTCCGTTGAGCACTATAAGGCTCGTATGGTGGCTAAGGGTTACTCTCAGGAATATGGAGTTTGACTATGATAAGACCTTCGCCACTGTTGCTCATCTTATTATTGTTCGTTGTCTTCTTGTCGTTGTTGTTATCCCTTCTTCAATTAGATATCAATAATGCATTCTTACATGACACTCTTTCTAAAGAAGTTTATATGACTTCTCCTCCAGGTTTTCTATTTTCGGAAAAAGTTTGTCACTTACGCAACACTTTATATTGGTTGAAGCAGGCCCTTCGGACTTGGTATGTCACATTTAACTCTGCGCTATTGGATTTTGGTTGTACTACATGTGCCTACGATTTTGGATTATTCCTTCATCATTCTTCCTCAAGGATAATTATCCTCTTACTTTATGTTGATGATATGATCATCACGGGAGATGACGTGTCTGCTATTTTTGATCTATATGCATATCTTAGTCAGCAGTTTGAGATGAAGATCTTGGATCTCATTCGTTACTTTTTGGGACTTGAGGTCTCTAATTCTCCCGATGGTTTCTATCTATCTTGGACTAAGTAGGCCTCCGATCTTAGTTCTCGAGCTGGTCTCACAGTCTGTCTAGTAGTATCTACACCACTTGCCTATTACGTTCGACTTACACCTCATGATGGGTCTCTTCTTAATGATCCTACCCTATATCATCATCTTATTGGGAGTTTAATTTATTTGACTATTACTAAACCTAATATTGCTCATGCAATGCATATTGTGAGTTAGTTTATGGCTACTCCGAGGATCTCTCACCACTCTGCCGTCTTACATATTCTTCGATATGTGAAAGGTACTCTCCTGCATGGTTTACATTTTTCATCTCACTACTCTTTGATACTCAGCGGTTACTTGATTTTGAGTGGGCTGGCGACCCTACCAATTGTCGTTCAACCACTAGTTTCTGCTTTTTCTTTGGGTGATTTTCTCATCTCTTGGCGCAGCAAGAAGCAGACTTTGGTTTCTCCATCGAGTGTTGAGTCAGAGAATCGTGCTCTTACTGACTCTACATCAGAACTTCTATGGCTTCGTCGATTACTCACTGACCTTGATGCCCTGCTTTTTCTTGGGTGATTTTCTCATCACTTGGCGTAGCAAGAAGCAGACTTTGGTTTCTCCATCGAGTATTGAGTCAGAGAATCGTGCTCTTACTGACTCTACATCAGAACTTCTATGGCTTCGTCGACTACTCACTGACCTTGATGCCCCTTAGCCATGTTCAACGGCTCTTCACTGCGATAGTCAGAGTGCTATGAAGATGACCATAATGATACCTTCCATGTGCACCAAGTATATTGAGCTTAAATGCCACTTAATCTACAACATGATGTCAATGGGGATTTCATCTTGTTCTGGTATTCTCTCCAGATCAGACAATAAATATCTTCACCAAGTCTCTTCTCCTTGGCCGCTTCCGATTACTCTTGGACAAACTCAAGTTGGTCTCAGATACAAATATCTTTTTATATATATATATATATATATATTATTTGATATTATCTATCTTAGTTTAGGCTCGAATCCACTAGTATATATGCAATTGTATTTTCTAATTTTGAAAAATAATATAATATTATTATTTTTCCCCAAATTCTAATATATATTAAATTTATTTTAAAATTATAAATATTATTAATTATATAAAAAATAATAAAATAATATTTTAACTCATTATTATTAACTAATTAAATATTATTATTTTAAATAAATAATTTAATTTTTAAACTACTATTTAAATCATAATTACTGTGTCTTCAGTTCACTGCTTTTTATGCTATTTTGTATTTATATGAAAATTAAAAATTAATTATTATTATAATATAATAAAATTGGTAAAAATTAAATGAGCTAGTATTAAAAAAAAATTACCAAAAGTTAATAAAAATATAATTGGATAAGTTGAAAATTGATAAATTGTTTATTATTTATTAAAATAGAATAATAAAATTATAAATAGATAAAATTAAATATTATAAATATATTATACATAATTTTTAAAAAATTAGCATAAATATCTAAGATTAAGTATAAGTATTATATTATAATCAAATTTCAGATACAGTATAATCAAATTTCATCTAATAAATTTATGTTTGGTTGTTTGTATTTTGATTAATTTTCTTTTTCCATGTAAGGTAAAAGAAAAATACGTCGATAATATAAAAAATATGCCTTTCGTTTCACATAATTTGCCTCTATTTTTTTTCGTCCGTCCTACGTAATTTGTCTTTTTTTTAAAAAAATATAATTATACATTTCAATCGTATTTTAAATATTAAAATTTATAATTTCTTTATTCTTAATTAAATTATTTTAATTATTTAATCTTAATTTATAGTTACTTTTACTAATACACCTATTAATTATTTACTAATTATATTTTACCTAAATTCTCATATATACTGTAATAGATCATATTATATGAGACGGAGCGAATAATATTTTATGTTGAATATTGATATTTGTAAGAGATAAAATATATATACTGAGAATTATATAAGACGGAGTGAATAATATTTTATGTTAAATATTGATATTTGTAAGAGATAAAATATATATACTGAGAATCGTAAATAAAAATTTCGACAAACAAACTCTTATAATAATACTGATAACCCTTAGAATAATGCTGACACTTTTATATGTTTGGTAGTTTTAGAATTTTTAAAAGTTTTAAGAATAATAAAAATTTATGTTGTATTCTTTTGTGGATTTTATCATAAATTTTTACTATTTTTTTTCTCCAAAAATATCACATTAAATAATTATTTTTTTATATTATATAATAAATTTATTTTATATTCAAAACATCACATCAATCTCTATATATATAATATCAAATAACTATTCAAATTTAACTATTTACTGTTTAAAAATCCAAATAAAAAAACTAAAACCTACAAACAAACACACCCTTAAGGTCTGTTCTTTTTTATTTGATTTGATTTATTTTTTTTTTTCAATTTGATATTAAAATAAAGTAAGATGAATATTTTGTTAAAAAAAAAAATGAAATAATAAATTTTGAAAAATGTTAAAAAAAACAAAGTCTAATAGTATTTGATATGATATTATTTTAAAAACTGTATTTAATACTCCCTCTTGCAAGTAAATATTTACTTTTGGCGTGATGTAACGATATTTTTGCCTTTAAGGGGCTGTTTGGTTCATGGACTTTTTTGGTAGGATTGAGATTTTACAGTAGGATTTATATGTGATGAGATTTATTATATTTAGGATTTGGAATCCCATATTATGTTTGGTTGGTAAAATATGGTGGGGTTTATATTTCGTGGATTTGGATTTATTATATTCTAAATGACATAATTGTCCTATTATGAATTTTATTTATTTTGACAAATTAAACCTCTAATTCATTATTAATATAAATTGAAAAGATATCAATAATTTTATAGGATAACAATAGATTCGCGTAAACTCGAGACCCGACCGAGCCCGACCTATTTATTTGAAGTTGAGTCCAATTATTTGAGTGTTAGGCCTGGACCCGGATCATGATCAGGTAATATAATATTAATAAATCAACCATACATATCAAAAAATAATTTCGAATAATATAATTATATTAAAAATATTTTTTGAATTTAACGTATTCATTATTTTATTATAATATTTTTCTAATAAAATACATAAATTTTAATATACATTGGATCCGGTACATATGTAATTTTAAATTAAAATTTAAGAATTGTAAAAAAAATGGATTTTTCGGATCCATCAAGTCATACCGGGTATAGTTTCGGTCGGATCTAGTATAATCGGATCCAATTTGAATATCAGATTTAACAATATATATTTGGGATGAATATCAGTTCCGACTGAACCCGACTTATGGTGGTCCCTATAATTTTATAATTCAAATAAAATTTATAATAAATAATAATTTAAACAATGAATTTATTAATTTATTTAAAAAATATTGTACAATAAAAAATAATATAAATTTAATTAAGTATATAATTCAAATAATAATTAATGTTAAAATTATTTAATTTTTAATATAAATATAATACTATTATTTTTTTTATAAGAGGATATAAATGTAAAAATTAAAATTTCAAGAATGAGATTTAAAAGTAACAAGGTATCCCAATTACAAAAAAGTCTCTTATTTGTAGGATTTTAGACCAATTTTTCAAATCCCATCATTTTAAATTCCACATTCTTTTTCTTAACCAAACATAGATTTTATAGGATTTTAAAATCCAAATCCCATGGAATCCCATCAAATCCTTGAACCAAACAGCCCTAAGGGTATTTGTGAAAAAATAAGATATTTAATGAAATATTTATTGACGTCCAAAATAAAAATATGTATACTTTGTAAAGAGGGAGTATGATATTTTAAAAATATATATTAAGGGGTGTTTGGTAAATAGTTTTTTGAAGAGCTTTTAGCTTATTGAACAGCTTTTTAGCTATTTGACCAGTCAAAAAGCTAATTTAGGTATTTGGTAAATTAGCTTTTTGAAATAGCTTTTTGGACCCAAAAAGCTAATTTCTGAAAAGCTAACTTATCCAGTGTTTTGAAATAATTTTTTATGTAATTTTTTTTATTTCTTATATGCACTTAAAAATTTATTATACATTTACACAAATAAATATATTTTGATTATTTATTAATTATATTAGAATATTTTATTATATTATAGTTTTACTTTTATAAATTTAAAATAATTAATTTTTATATAAAAATTATTTTAATTGTAAAATATATATAAATTTATTAAAATCAACATAAAATAAAAAATATAAATATTAATAATTTATTTTATTAAAATTACATTATATAAATTTTATACTATAAATAAATTAAATAAATTAAATTTATTGAAAATTATAAATATAATGAACTAATCGGTAACTATCATAATAAATATATACACGAAAAATTTATTATTTTATATTTTACATCATTTTTAATAAAAAAAAATTATTTATATATTTTAATAAAAATATATTATTTTTTTAAATCTAACTGTAATAAAAATAAATATTTTTATAACCCTTTTACAATTTTCAATAACTAATAACAAAAAATTTTAAATATTCCAAACTGAAAAAACATAATTGAATATATTAGAAACAAGAATAAAATAGAAGTGTCATCGATTCTCATTTTAAGTATAAACAACTAATATCAGACAGTTGTTTTACCGAACATTTTAATACAAACAACTAATCGAATCAGCTAGTCAAATCAGCTAATTGAATCAGCTAACAAATATCAGCTAATTGCACGCCCTAAATTTAATTACAAAAGTTTTAAAACTATCTGCGTAAAAAAAATGGAAATTCGGAATTGAATTCACGTCATCAATATCTACCCACCTTACGCCTCCTAATTACTGATATAGCCAAAATTTACCCTATTCCCATTTCGGTAAATATATACAGCAATGCTAACATGACAGCAAATAACATTACCGACTGCTGCAATGTCATAAATCAATTTTGCACAGCAGCAGGCAGCACAAGTGTCATTGCCTCATAAGAGGAAGGGCAGAGTGGTCATTTCGCAAAAACGAGTTCTAGACGAATCCACCCTATTAAATGCGCAATCGTAAAAGAGTTACAGAGAGACGAAGAAGTGGGGATTCTCTGATTTTTCTTGCCTTCCCTTCCTTCCTTCCTTCATTCCTTCCCCTTTTCTCCTCCGATACTATTCCTATTTTGTTTGCCGTAATTTTCTTGACGGGTTCCAGCTGCCCAGATTTTGCTAGCTTGTGGAATTTGGCGAATAGGGAATTTTCATTTCAGGGGTTATTGTTTTGATTGGGGTTGTATCGCCCGCTTGCCCGCCGGGCGGGTTTTCGATTCTTGTTGTTTGAGTGCATTTACATGGTAATTCTTTGGCGGGGATCGTAATCGGGAGGATCGGAGACCATGCTGTCGTTGCAGAGCGATCCGCGGCAGTACAATCTGAATCTGCAGCAGCTACAACAACAACAGCAGCAGCAGCAGCATCAGCATCAGTTGGTGCCGCAGCAGGTTACCAGGGCGCCGTACAATGCGGTATCTGATCATCTCCGCGACGATCCGTCCCTGGCCTTGGCCGCCTCGAGTAATATCACGCAAGAATTCTCTCGAGAAGGTTTGAATTTTTAGGGTTTATATGTATAGTAATTAAAAATTTTCACTTTCTTAATTCTCTGCGCCATTTCAATTTTGTGGTGAGATTCGGAGATTTGGTAGGGGTTTATATATTTTAAGGGTTTGATTTTTTAAAGCCAAATAATACTTGTGTGGGTCTACTTAATTTCTTTATACAATTTTATTTTACCAGGGGAATTTAAAAATTGATAAACAGTAATCGCACCTGATGTTTGATGATCCAAGCATGTTTTGGGGAACAAGTTTTGATGTTTTGCAAATTTTAGGGCATGAAGTATTTTGAAAGGAGATTTTCATGATAGGTCTTATTTTTTATGTTTGATAATTCCTTACAGAAAGACACCCAATTCAGTAAATTCATCTTCTTTTGAAAATTGTACTGACAACGAGCTGATTGGGAGCTGTGATGTGTGTTAGAACGTAACTATGAGGTCAATTAGGTTATTGGAAAATTAATGTTGGAGTTCAAAGAGCTCTTAAACAAAATTTGTTAAATCGGAATCTAGGTATTTTTTTAGGTGTTCCATTTGGTTTATAAGATAAACCTCACTGGTTTATGGAACAGTTTATTTTGATGGAAGCCATCATGCAATTTATTTGGTCCTTGAATGTATGCATTATTTTGTTGTTGCATGATTTTGACTGAAAAAAGATCTTACTTCTCGCCTTCTCCCTGAACTTCATGCTATTACTTCTGTTTGTTGTTTTACTTCAATTTGGACTGCATAGAAGCTCATTTGAATGGGACCTGTACCCAAAACCTATTGCATTTTGTCTATTTTTTTAGTGTTTTTTTTTTAAAAAAACCCTACACACACACACACACACACATGCTCCTGGGATCGAACCCGGGTCATAGTCCCCAAGCGGGAATTCTTTACCACTTGATCTATAAGGGCTTGAATGTCTACTTTTGTAGTTAAGGTTCTTGGTTTCTGAGAATTTTCATTTCAATGTATATTCTTGGTTTTTGTCACCACTGGATTTATCTTAGAATTCTGCATTTAAATCACCATATGTGTCCTCGTATGTTCAAACAAAATACCTAAATTCTTGTCTGTTTCTATCAATATTGTGGGACAATGTTCTTCCAAGCTCTGTTTTCTGTCTTTTGCAATGGAGACAAGATCTATGGGATTATCTGTATTAGATCTGTGTTGAAAAGCCTATTATCGGTTAGTAGAAGATTTGTACAAGAATTCACTAATTTTGACACACTGGTGTTTCTGAGTGGGCACCTAATACATTACAAAAAGAAACTTGCTACTGAATAAAGTCCCGCTAATATGAGTTTCTTGATTGTGTTTCAACCATTTTAGTATACAATGTATTTACAGTAACTTATTTTTTATTTAATATATTATATCCAAAGATCATTATCCATTCCAAGGATCAGGTTAAACAATTATTTTAATTTAAAATTTTTACTATCTTCAAAACATCAAATCACAACCAAACAAACACATGCCTACATTCAACTATATTATGCTGCGCTTCACTCATTACATAGATAATGTTTATTTTATTTTAGGGACAGGTATGCCTGCTTTATTTTTACATACTAATCTTCAATTTAAGTTCTGTATACAATCAAAGAATTTATGTTACGAGGCTACCTATTTTCTATAACACCTGTAACTAGCTAAAACGAAGGGATGACAGAAATGCTTCCATTTGAATCATAAAATGTCATCATCTTCGGAAATCCCTTATCAAAGAAAGTGGAAGCTGTGGAACTGTCAATTGCCCTGTTTTGTTTTTTTACTTAAATTTTTGTGTAATTGAATAATTCAATTCCTTATGTTGTTTTCTTAATCAATTCACCAAATATCAACGAATTAACATATTACATGAATGTTTAAGAGGGCCATGAATTGGAAATGGATGTGTATTCTTCTCCTTGTGAGATGTGGTAATGAGAGACAATGCAGGTGTTTGGCAGTTTTGTGAGGGATAAAGGTCTATACAATGCTGCTGGTTTTTGAGATTATCCTTTACCTCTATAATAATCTAACTTCATTGCCAATGCAAATTCATTTTATTTGGTGTTTTTTATTAGGATTCTTTTTTCTTTTTTTTTTTTTTCTCAATTTAAGTAATTATTTGTAATCTTCTTCTTTTGTGTGTTGCAGTTGACGAAGATGTGCTCTTGAACCTTGCTCATCAGAATTATAAAGCTGGAAATTATAAGCAGGCGCTAGAGCATAGCAAAGCAGTCTATGAAAGGGTCCCCCGTCGCACTGATAACCTTCTTCTGTTGGGTGCAATTTATTATCAGGTTTGGTTACTTCACTTGTGATTTTCACTTGCCTTTCATGTGTATTAATATGTATGTAGATATACAAGTTTTCAAATTTTTACTGTTTTCTGATTTGTCTTGTAGTTGCATGACTTTGATTCGTGCATCTCAAAAAATGAGGAAGCCCTTCGAATTGACCCGCAGTTTGCTGAGTGTTATGGAAATATGGCAAATGCTTGGAAGGTACTTGTTTTGATGTTTGTATCCTTGTGGTTTCTTAAAAGTTTTGATGTCAAGAAACTAACCCATCTTGTCTTACTTGTTTTCCCCATTGCAGGAGAAAGGCAACATTGATGTTGCCATTCGCTATTATTTGGTTGCAATTGAGGTTTGTCTTAACTAAAATTTACTGCGTTGGAGTTGAATATTTAAGCCTTATGAGGAAAACAAAATATAAATATTGGGAAATTGGCCTTTGTCGACCACAGAGATTATATTTTAAAAATCATTCAATATCCTTTAATATAGGCATCCTATCTTCCTTCCAAGAAAGTTTTACTGCGTTGGAGTTGTCAATTGTCAATGGCGCTTTAAGAATTGAAAGATAGTTAATATTGGCAATCCTTAAATGTTCCTTCTTTGAGTTTAGAGGGTTTGATACTTTGATTGGAATTGAAATATTTGGATGTTTCTCTCTCCACTTGATAACAATGTGGGTATTAGCATTCTTTGGTGTTTTTTACCTTTAATATCATTCTATTCCTTCTGCTATTATATTTGTCTTGAATGCACAATTTACTTGCAGTAACCATAGTGGCATTCTATATTTGAGAATGTGAAAAGCTATGTTTGCTGTTTTGTCCTTTAATAGACACTGACCATCCATATATTTGCGCAGCTTCGGCCTAATTTTGCTGATGCATGGTCAAACTTAGCCAGTGCTTACATGCGGAAAGGAAGGTTAACTGAGGCTGCCCAATGTTGTCGTCAAGCTCTTGCTCTAAATCCTCGTTTGGTAATCTTGTGATCAGGACTTCTACCGGCTTCCAAACTCTTTAGATCATGACCTATAACTTTCACTTGTTTTAGGTTGATGCTCATAGCAACCTAGGAAATCTGATGAAAGCACAAGGGCTAGTGCAAGAGGTAATATTAGAGATGATGGATCCTTTTAATATACATATATATATATACGTATGTATATATTTTCTGGTAAAGGATTCACTTGTTTGTTTCACTTCATTCATTGACTTACTATGCTTTCTTGCTTAGGCTTACAATTGTTATTTGGAGGCTCTCCGCATACAACCTACCTTTGCTATTGCTTGGTCCAATCTTGCTGGACTTTTCATGGAGGCTGGTGATCTTAACAGAGCTTTGCAGTATTACAAGGTTGAAATTCCATATATAATATAGTTAATATATATAAAAACTTGACATGACATTACTTTCAAAGATGTGTTATATGCTTAGTAACTAAGTTATGGCATTTGTTAAATGAATTGTATCTCAATCAACGTTTTATTGTATTATTAGGAGGCTGTGAAGTTGAAGCCCAATTTCTCTGATGCCTACTTGAATTTGGGAAATGTTTATAAGGTAAGCCTTTTTGTACATCCTGTAAGGCATGGTAAATCTCAATAATAATTTCATCTTCTTCGTCTTTTTTAGGCCTTGGGAATGCAACAGGAGGCTATTGTATGCTATCAGCGTGCTTTGCAGTCACGACCAGACAATGCTATGGCTTTTGGTGAGTGATTTCTAGTGGGAAGTTTGTTTGTTTTTTTTTTTTTTTTGTTTGTTTTCCCCCCTCTAATGGGATGTCTTGATGTCCTGCATGCATTAAATTGATTTCTTGTTTAGTAAGGGGTGTTCTATGTTTTCAGTCATTTCATGATTCATGCTCGCTGGTTGTGTGAAGTTAGATATTCTGTCTGTAAGCCAAAATAATAAAAAAAAATTCAGATTATGATAGAGAACAAGAAGAAAATGGGCAGGGGTTGCAAGAAGACAACGAGCTGGGTCTGCAAGGAGGAGAACCCCGTCGTTTGCTGGTGTACTGCCAACACCAACGAACTTAATTTAGGAGCGGAATAATTCTGAAACCTTAATTGCTTTTTTTATTACCCTTAGGAGCTTAAATAAGTCTAAGGAATTAATAAGCATTGATGAGCGGATAATTAGGGGATTAGATTATGAATAATATTGATGAAGGAAGATTGAGAAGGGAAGATATGATATTAATATATATATGTATTGAGATAGAGGAGAAAGGGGGGGATTGATATTAAGATTTGAGCCATAGGCTGGAATAACGAGTAATTTTCAGATTCCTTAAAAAAATTAATCTACCAGATTATGTTACTTGTATTTCACTTTTGTTTTGGATTTTTTGTGTTTAGAGTTTCGGAAGTTTTGAGATGAAAGTGGGTGTTGGATGTGATGTATTTTATGGAAGATGGAAATGCATTATAGGTTGAATGTTGTGAATATAGAAAATGAAACACAACATAGCCTGACGTTGGTGATAAAAAGCTTGGACAATAACTTTTGTGTGCGTTGTGAGCTTGTGCCTGTGTGTGTGTGTTGTTAGTGTTTAACTAAGACAATATGGATTATACACATGAATGAATTAGGTGAAAATAGAATTTGAAATGAAATTAGGATTGTAATATTTTAAAAATCTATTCCATGCTATCCAACATAAACAAATAGTAGATGTGAATTTATATAAATATTCTATTATGTTTTGGTTAATATTAATTTGAAATAAATGTATCAGATAATTAACACCTATTATGTCAAATTTATAATATAAATGAAAATCATAACATATGGATATAAGTGAACTCATTGATCAGGAAGCGAATGCCCATTCATTTGGTTATGAAGAATGATAACTAATCATGAAATGACCATATCCACCAAAACCTATACCAATTATTAGAATGAAATAGAAGTGGGAGTCATGACTGGTTTTCCTTGCCTTTCCTGCGTACCAGCAGACCCCTAGATGATTTTAATCAGTTTTTAATATTTTGAAAAAAGCTAGAACTTAAGCAGTTGTATGGTGCCTGGTTGGCCATCAAGGAAAAGTAATGTTTGCATTTATTAAGTGCTTAACCTCATTACTATACCACATTTAGATTGCTATGTGAATCATGGAGTTTGTTATAGTTTTGAAGATATTATACTGCTCCTCTGATCTTGCGAGATTTTACAACCTATGTTCCACTTTTTCAACTCAGTGTTTCACAGGCTTATGTGATTATTTTTTGTTTGCCCACTTCGTCTTTAAGGTGTTCATATTGCTTACAAATGACATTTTATTGAAGCAATTGTTTTGTAAAATCAAAATTTATTTTGTATATGAACAAATACTAGTTATTGTGAGCCGTCAATGTGTTTGATCGGAATACTTCATGCTTGAATTGCATTAGTTCAGTAAAGTTTTTAGACCTTTCAAACTGCTGGATGTCACCTCCATGTCGTTTTGAAGTTCATAATGTAACAAATATTGCAGGAAACTTGGCCAGTGTATACTACGAGCAGGCCAACCTTGATATGGCAATACTAAACTATAAGCGAGCAATTTCTTGTGATACTACATTCCTGGAGGCATACAATAACTTGGTGTGTATTTCACTGATCCATCGGTTGTGTACATGCATGTTTCTTCAGGTCAAGCTGATTTTATTATTATTATCATTATATTTAGGGTAATGCTTTGAAGGATGCTGGAAGAGTTGAGGAAGCAATTCACTGCTATCGAGTTAGTTCCTTTTGGCATTGACGTGTTTCTCATTTACTCTTTTGCATTGGCTAACTATCATTATTATTGTTTATGAAGCAATGCCTTTCTCTTCAACCTAGTCACCCGCAAGCACTTACTAACCTTGGAAATATTTATATGGAGTGGTATGTTCAGTATCAATGTGCTTACCTGTGCTTTTGATTGTGTTGTCATACTTTTCTTCCTGTTTTAATGAGTTCGCTTCTTTTAGGAACATGATGAGTGCAGCTGCTCAGTGCTACAAGGCTACACTTGCTGTTACAACCGGGCTTTCTGCCCCTTTCAACAATCTAGCTATCATATACAAACAGCAGGTAAGTATTTTAGTTTTTACCTCCCATTTGTTGAGTACAGAATCTTTGACATGACTTGGAAGTAGTTTATATCATCATTAATTTTCACAGTGCTTATAATGAGATATAAATGTTGCTGCTAATAATTCAACATGATTCAATTACAGGGTAATTATGCAGATGCTATATCTTGCTACAATGAGGCTCTTAGAATTGACCCATTGGCAGCTGATGGCCTTGTGAATCGTGGAAACACTTACAAAGAAATTGGTAGGGTTAATGATGCAATTCAAGATTATCAGCGTGCTATTGCCATCCGGCCAGCCATGGCTGAAGCTCATGCTAATTTGGCTTCAGCTTACAAGGACAGGTATATTACTGCACTTCTTGTAGTTATGAAGGTTTAGAAAATCATGTTTCTATGTACACACTGCATATGCATTAGCTCAGTTTCCTGCAGTGATCATATGTAAGCTGCCATGAAATAGGTTAATTATTCTCCGTATGTGGTTGAGTAGTATGTCACATGTGTTCAACACATCATGGTTTGTCTGCAGTGGTCTTGTGGAAGCTGCAATCAAAAGCTATAGACAGGCATTGGTGTTGCGTGCAGATTTCCCGGAGGCTACTTGTAACCTTCTCCATACTTTGCAGGTGCATTTTACAGTTTTCTAATATTTACTCCTCTGTTGAAAGTGCAGTATATATAATTGCCAAAGTTGATTTAGCTGATACCTTCCAAGTTAAATGTCTGTAAAATTATTTAGTATCCGGACATTTGTGGCAATACCTCTCAGGACAACTGTAATTTCTTGTCTCAGAATCTCCAACTTGTTTTTAATAGTGGTAGTTTCTGGAAAGTTGAGAAAACAAGCATATATGGTGTAGAATTAATTGCTGGTGAAATTTGTGGATAATGATTCAGCTGAAACCTGAGTAGCAATTTAGCTTTTGGTGTGCGAATAAAAATTTCTTTTAAAAGTGGAATTTGTGCTTGTGGAAATATATTCAGAGTTCGGAAGTTCCTAAGTTCCAACTATTGCTAAAAACTGGAAATTATATGACATTGATGTGTTATTAGCTGAAGTTTCTTGATCTGATTTTTTCTCTATCAGACAAGACCTTTGAATCATCTCGGTTTAGTTGTTCAGCCTGAGTAAACAGTTCTATAATTAATTGTGTTGAAAAGAGTGATGGCAATCCTCCTCATATTGTGTAATTCTTCCTTGCAAGCGAAACAGTGTAACATTGATTGTAAAGAGAAATAAATCTCTCACCTTTCTTTGTAAGTTCATTGTGTAACTAATTACAGAGTTGCAGATTGATTACTTGGCAAATAATTATTAGGATGGCATTGTCACCTTTAAAATAATTTCCTTCTATGAGTTGATTTGAGCTTTATTAACATCATTGCTGATTCCTAATTCCTATGTACACATAACCATGGTTAGTTTATTTCCTTACATCTTAGATGGCATTGAAAGTGTTCTGTTAGTTTGTGCTCTTGTTATCTAGCTTGCAAACTTTTCTATGTTATCTGCAATTCTTCTCATGTAGGCAAGGCTAATATTCATTCTTGTATATATTCATCAATCATCATACTAGATAAGTCGGCTTTCTTTAATATGAAAATTTTTTAATTTCTTTTACCTTAGTGTGTCTGTGACTGGGATTCACGGGATGATATGTTTGCTGAAGTTGAAGCGATACTGAGGAGACAAATCAAGGTTCGTAAAAATCTAATTCTGAAGCTCCTTAGCACCATTTTAATCCGACCACTTGCTTCCTTTTTCTTTTTATTTTTTGTGAATCAGTAATCATGTGTTTCAGTCATCACTATCGTCGTACAAGTGGCACTTGTTAACACCCCTCTTTGTAATTGCAGATGTCTGTTATTCCAAGTGTGCAGCCTTTCCATGCAATAGCTTATCCCCTTGACCCCATGCTTGCTCTGGACATCAGGCAAGAGACCAATTCCAACTGTCTTGTTTCTCCAATTTTGTTCTACAGTGCTCTTACTGCCACTCTGTATGTGCAGCCGGAAATATGCTGCCCACTGCTCTGTTGTAGCGTCCCGTTATTCACTGCCTCCATTTAACCATCCTCCTCCATTGCCTGTAAGGGGTGGGGGCAGGAATGGCCGATTAAGAATTGGGTAAGTCTTTGAAGTTTCTGTTTATTTGTGCTTCTAAGTAATCTCCTATTTGCTCGAAATCATCTGTGTGATTGTATTTCCACTCAGATATGTGAGCAGTGACTTTGGGAACCACCCCTTGTCACACCTCATGGGTTCAGTATTTGGTATGCACAACCGAGAGAATGTTGAGGTAAATATGTTATTTTTAATTTTCTGTTTTTTTAGGTTTTCTAATTTATGAATTGTAATGTGATGGATCTTCGTGTAGGTTTTCTGCTATGCATTAAGTCCAAATGATGGTACTGAGTGGAGACTGCGGATCCAATCAGAAGCAGAGCATTTTATTGATGTATCATCCATGGCATCTGATACGATTGCTAGGATGATTAATGATGATCAGATACAAATCCTGATCAATCTGAATGGGTATACTAAGGTATTAATCATTGCCATTTTCAATTTTTTGGTCATATCCATCGTGTAATATGTGAATGTATTGTATTCTTGCTTAATTGGATTTAGTTTAAAATTGCTTTGGATGTTTCTGTACGTGTTTAGGGGGCAAGAAATGAGATATTTGCCATGCAGCCTGCTCCAATTCAGGTCTCCTACATGGGTTTTCCGGGGACCACAGGGGCGTCCTACATACATTATTTGGTGACTGATGAGGTACTTTTTCTCATGCTTCTTCGGTTGCCCTGTACTTATGTTGGTTGATCTCTATCTTATATTTATTCCTTCATTACTGAAAAATAACAATGTTAATAATGTTCCTTGTCATGCTCTCAGTTACAATTTATTAATCTTATTACAGTTTGTCTCGCCAATGCGGTACTCGCATATATACTCCGAGAAGATTGTCCATCTTCCTCATTGCTATTTTGTGAATGACTATAAACAGGTATACATTGAGAATTTAGCCTTTTTTCTTTGTGATTTTTTCCCCCAACCTAGAACAATGATTTATGATTTTCCCTTTCAAATCTTTTTTAGAAAAATCTTGATGTTCTGGATCCAAGCTGCCAACCCAAGCGATCTGACTATGGGCTGCCTGAGGACAAATTTATATTTGCCTGTTTCAACCAACTTTACAAGATGGATCCCGAAGTTTTTACCACCTGGTAACATGGTTTTCGGTGTTATGAAAGTCAACAGTTTAGTTTTTGCTTAGCAAATACTCTTCTGTGTGCGTAGGTGCAATATTCTCAAGCGTGTCCCAAACAGTGCACTCTGGCTTCTTAGATTTCCAGCTGCAGGCGAGATGAGGCTTCGTGGATGTAAGCTACTATTATCCACTTTGCATAGAATTGCAAATTTGTATTTATATTGGAGAAATAAATAATACTTTCCTGTTTATGTTACACGATGTTCTCCAGATGCTGCTGCGCAGGGCGTGCAATCCGACCAAATAATTTTCACAGATGTTGCAATGAAACAGGAGCATATAAGGCGCAGTTCATTAGCAGACCTCTTTCTTGATACGTATGGGCTTCTTTCAGCTTTCTTTACGAGCACAAATCACTTGAAGCATTTCATGATTGTTTGAAGTTTCATTTTAACCCTGTTGGTTTCTTGTGAAATAGGCCACTTTGCAACGCACACACCACGGGGACGGATGTTCTTTGGGCAGGTCTACCTATGATCACTCTTCCTCTGGAGAAGATGGCTACCAGAGTTGCTGGTTCTTTGTGTTTGGCAACAGGAGTCGGGGAAGAGATGATTGTGAATAGGTACGCATTTGTATCCATCCGTAAGCACTTTGTATACCAAGTTGTGCTTCTCTTTGACTTCATATGGTATTGATTTTGTTTCCTATTTGACATTGTGGTGTGATAGCATGAAAGAATATGAGGAGAGGGCAGTTTCCCTGGCCCTAAATCGGGGAAAGCTCCAAGATCTTACCAACAGACTGAAGGCTGCAAGATTAAGCTGCCCTCTTTTCGACACACAACGCTGGGTGAGTAGAGAAATGACATTACATTATACATTGCAGGCGAGAGAGAGAGAGAGATTTGAGTGTGATATTTATTAACCAAGTGGCGGTTGTGGTTGTGGTTGTGGATGATCAGGTGAGGAATCTGGATCGAGCCTACTTCAAAATGTGGAACTTATACTGCTCTGGGCAGCAGCCTCAGCCATTCAAAGTTAGTGAGAATGACATGGAATTTCCATACGACCGCTAGGGGAGGAGTGTGCGTTATAAGGAAGGTATTGTAATCGTAATTGTAATCGTAATCATGATCGATTCGGCATTGTAGATAAAAAGAAGCAAGAGGTGAGATTGATTGTGAGCTAGTGAGTCATATGTTTGTCCGACTCAGTCACAAAGGAGGATGTACTAACAGCTTGGCTCTGAATACCTCTACCTTACCTACCTACCATTATTAACCTTCTCCATGTGTGTGGTGGAATTGGGTATGTTGTGTCATGTTATGTCGAACAACAGGCAAGTTTGGCACTGCTGTCTATCTATCCATCTATATCTATGAGTTCATCTCAATCGATTCATCTATCTATCTCTATATCTATTGTTAGTATTAGTGTGTAATTATAAGTGGCAAAGAAAGAAAAGAAAAGAAAAGAAACCAGAGGCAGCAGTGGTTGTGCTGCTGTTTTGACGTGGTGGATGACATAGTATTAGAGTACAGTATGTCCGTTCTGATCGTATACATCTTTATCTTAATATCTTTTCTTGTTCATACTCCGCTGGTTGCCCTTGCCATTGCCCTTAGCCCATCAAAAGTAGTAAAAAGTGGCTCGGCTCGCAAGAATTTATCTATCACCTCAGCTGGGGTTGGGTTGATTGGGGGTGGGGTGGGGTGTTCTTTTCTGTTATGTTATAGAAGAGAAGAGAAGGGTTTGTTGATAAGAATAATAATACTCGATAATGGAGTAATTGATATCCCGAGATGTACATACATCCCATCCATAAAAGCCAGCCTTATCCATTCATTCTTTCTTGCATGAATCATTGGACTAGAGCTATTTAAAGGAATCAGTCACAATATGAATCAATCAATCGATCAAACTTCAAAATCAAATCAAACACTAGGCACGCTGCTGAATCTGAAACTGAATCTAAATCAAAGGTACAGTTTTATTGATTAATTAATTGCTCATCGTCTGGGCACCAAAATTACAAACATCATATCACTTCGCATTCTCTGCTAGCTACTAGCTACTAGCTCTACTCTGCCGCCTCGATCCATGGATCGATCTGTATCAAAACTTTATTACAGCAACAGCAACAAAGTCGAAATTCAACTCAACTACGTTACTTTACAGCAAGCACTAGTGTGTGTCGTCTCGTCCTTATTCAGATATACGATGAGGATGAGGATTTAGGAGAGAGAGGTGCAAAGTGGAGCAGCTCCTTGGAGCGAATCCAGGGCTTCACCACCGCCACCGCCTCGAAGGTCCTCCTACTTTTAATAGGACTTCCATTTGCATGTGCATCTGCATCTGCTTCTGCTGCGGAGATCTGCAGGAAGTATTTGATCCCCGACACCACCTGGGTCTCCGCCGCCACCACTCCATTGAAAACCAGCTGCCGACCGCTCTGTCGGCGACGGTTGTACTCTCGCACGCAGTAGCTGCCCAGCTCCTGTATCTCCTGGTTGTCCTCCACGTTTTCCACTCGGCGCCGCCCACCCACCAAGAATCCCCCTCTCGCCTCCGCCTCCGCCTCCGCCAAGAGAAACAGAAAGAGTAGGAGAAACAATTTGGAGTTGGAGGCCATGACGACTTAATTATGACTTAGATTGTGTAGTGATTAGCTGTTTGAAGTTAATAGAGAGCAGGGAGGAGAGCAGTAGTATACTAGTATTAAATAGGCGTAGCAGCGGAGTTGTGTGATGTGGGCGCGCCGTGACGTGGCAGCGAACGAGCACCGTCGCCCTGCCGCGTCCTCCACTCTCAATCAATCTCCATGTTTGTTTCTTTGTCGTCGTCTACCTCATACAGTATGGGCTGTCGTACACTACTCTAATCTATTCTGTTCCATTCTATTGTCCCCTCTCCCACCATAATCTCATCTCAACACCACACTTCCCTTTAAATTATTCCTTCACTCATTTTATTTTTCTTAATTGTCATCTAAATTTCTTACTCTCTTCCATTCTCAATAATCTATTTATTTTTTCATCTTAGTTTGTGATTGTACTATCCTCGTGATATTATAAATAACTTTTTAATTTATAATATATTACGCAAATATCATTGTATTTATATCATGTATATGGATAAAGGTAAGTCTTACGAGAAAACGAGAAAAAAAGCAAATAAAAACAGAGGTTTTACGTGGTTTGTTTTACGTGGTTTGGTGACGGTTTGTCAATCTACGTCCACGGGCAGGAACCAGAGAGATTTTATTATACTGATTCAGAGAGTTACAATTATGTCATACACTTAGGAACCATAACTATCTATTTATAAGCACCCCAAAACACCTTGAACCTTAAGACCAATTATTATTAATTAGGATAAACCCTAAAGGAACCCAGCCAATTGATACATCATTTTCTCTTTGGTTTCGGGTCGGGTAGACCGCTAAATTCAAGTTACGTTTCAACAATCTCCACCTTAACTTGGAGTTTCTTCAACCGCCAAAGGTTCATCAGTATCTCTCTGTCGTCTCCTTCCTTCCAAATGTCCCGAGAGGACTTCACCTCTTGCGAATATTCATCAAGTTCAAGCAGTGCTCGAACTTCTCCATCGGTAGCGTCTTTGTCAATATATCAGTTGAATTGTGTTCTGTAGCTATTTTATGAATAGAAAACTTATTTTCCTTCAGAAATCACGGATAAAATTCAACCTTACATCAATATGTTTGGTTCTCTCATGATACACTGGATTTTTAACCAAACTTAAAGCACTCTGACTATCACAGAATAACATCGGTTTCTCCACCTTCAGACCCAAACACTGCACCAGACCGTGTAACCAGATACCCTCCTTAATACCTTCAGTCATTGACATGTATTTTGCCTCAGTCGTCGACAGTGCAACCGTAGGTTATAAAGTAGACTTCCAACTGACTACACATCCAAACATAGTGAAGATAAAGCAAGTCAATAATCTTCGTTTCACCAAGTCACCTCCATAATCAGAGTCTACATAGCCAACCAGACCATCACCATGGCCTTTATCATTATATACTAAACAATTATCACACGCTCCTTTCAGATATCGCAAGATCCACTTTACAGCTCCCCAGTGAGCTTTACCCGGATTAGCCATAAACTTGCTCACCACACTAACCGCATAAGCGAGATCCGGTCTCGTACATACCATCGCATACATAAGACTTCCAACTGCACTTGAATATGGAACTGTCTTCATATAGCTAACCTCTTCATATGTAGCCGGTATAGTGCTTCGATCAAGTTTAAAGTGTGCCTCCAAAGAGGTACTTACCGGTTTGGACTGATCAGCAGGGAATGCCTGCAAAACTTTCTCAATATACTTTTCTTGAGAAACTTATAGTCGTCATGCTTCTCTATCACGCAAGATCTTCATACCCAATATTTTCTTTGCCGCACCCAAATCCTTCATCTCAAACTCACCCTTTAGTAAAGCCTTCAAGTCATTAATTACAACCATGTTTTTAGCTGCAATTAATATATCATCCACATACAACAATAGATACACAAATGAATCGCTAGAAACTTTCTTCGAGTAAACACAGTTATCAAACTGATTACGAGTATAACCATTAGACACCATGAAAGAATAAATCTCTTATACCACTGCTTCAAGCCATATAGAGATTTCTTTAACAAATATATCTGGTCCCTTTTAGAACTGTCGAACCCCTCCGGTTGAGATATGTAAATTCGTTCTTCTAGATTACCATAAAAGAATGTTATTTTTACATCAAGCTACTCCAACTCCATATCAAAAGCACCCACCATTACCTAAAGAACCCTGATGGTTTTGTGTTTCACCACATGAGAAAAGACTTCATGGTAATCAATTCGTTCCTTTTATGAGAACCCTTTTGCCACCAGTCTCGTCTTGAACCTAGCAGGTTCAACACCAGAAATTCCCTCATTTTTTTTAAAAAGATCCACTTGCTTCCCCTTGGCTTCACCCCTTTTAGTAGTGCAACAAGATCCCAAGTCTTGTTCTTTTCAAAAGACTGTATCTCTTCATTAATTGCTATAATCCAAGTTTTTACATCTTTACTCACCACAACTTCTTTATATGTCTTTGGCTCATCAGAGCCAAGATCATCACCAACCGCCAATGCATAAGCCACGGAATTCATGTCACATGTATCGACACATCCTGCAAACCTACCTGGTTTCTGAATATTTCACTTTCCCTTTCTTGTCTATAATCAAGTGGACTCATTTCTGGAACAAAAAAAGTAATATTCATAATAATTTTGAAATACTACCTCCGTCCGGCTCTTAGGATCTCATTTACATTTTGCATGTTGATCTTTGAATATTAATTATTATATCAAAATATAGTATAAATTAAAAAAAAAAATTGCAAAAATATTTTCATTAGTATTTTATAAACAGAAGGACATTTGTAAAAAAAATTGTATAAATATAAGGATATTTTTAATGTTAAGTAGAATGACGCAAAACGTAAATGTGAACCCTTAGAGGCGGAAAAATGAATATTAAAATTACTTGATCGTGGGATTAATTATATTTAAAAAATTGAATATAAAAATTTAGATGAATTTAAACATTAAAATTTAATATAAAAATTAGAGAAAATCTAAGTATATACTTTTTTATAATATGGAAACCCACAACCGCTACCCGAAAGTGCGCACTGGGTAAACTTTCGGCCGAACTTAATACCCTGTAAATCAAGCCCCCACAAGGCGAATCTAAAGAATTAAAAAATATAAAGATGAACATGATATTTTAGAAATAAATTTGACTTATATTTGTATAGATAAATTATTAATGAATTTTAAATTTCAAAATTAGGCCCGCCCCACATAATGTCTTGGTTTACGAATGTAAAAAGAAGATAATTTTACGTCATCTGTCCGATGACAACGCGGACGACAACATAGTAACGACAGCGTCCACGTATACGTTGGCTATGCCACAAAGGCGCACGTGACGGTTACGTGTGTTTTTCGGGCGTCGGAGGACAAAAATAATGTCCGAAGTACACATAATGTTCTAAATTGCGAAAGTAAAAAAAAAATGTTCGAAAATGATAATTTAACTTACATACAAGACATGTTTTACAATTTTCCCTATTTTTAAAATAAATGTAATCAATTTTGTTACAATTAAAAAAAATTAATAAATAAATTAATAAGATAATCATAGAAGTACCGAGGAAGACGAGTGTATCAATTACACTCTTACTTATATATTAACCATATATATATATATGTATTTATTATTTTAGGGTATGTTTGTTTGAAGGATTTGTGTGAATTTCTACCGTTCACAAAAATTTTTTCTCGCGAAAAACATAAAATCAAACACCTATTTTTTATTTTTTATATTATATTAAAAATTAATTTTACATTCAAAACATCATATCAATGCATATTTATATCACATTATATAACTATTCAACTTCAAATTTTTTACTATTCAAATCTCAATCCAAAATTCAAACCTACTACAAGCATGATATTATATCATTTTAATCGGAGAGAGTATTTTTTTATTTTAAAAATTATTGTTTAATACAACTCAAAGAAATACTATACTACTTGGACAATAAAGTATTCTCTTCGTTTAAAATATAGTATAATATTTTATTTTTGGTACGAGAATTTACATAAATAATATTAAATAGAATAAATATATAAAAATTAAATAATATGGTAAGAAAATACATATCTATCGCTAAACTGTTTTTTAGTTCCGTAATTGGACCCCCTTATCATTTTAGTCCCGTAAGTAGAGTCTATTGCAAACTAGTCTCATAAGTGACAAATTTTCGCTGTTTTAGTCCTCCGGCGCCGGAGACGCCCGCGTGGCTCGCTGGAAGTGACGTGTCCGCCAAGTGTCCCGCCAGATCAGCGACACCTGGAGGACACGTGAATTTTTTTTTTTAATCTATTTTTAATTTTTTTTTTTTAATTGGACCAAATAAAAAAATGCAAATAAAATTTAAAATAAATGAAAAATAAGTTTTAAAAAAAAATTAAAAAATGAAAAAAAAAAAATGAACTTGTCCGCCAGGTGTCGCTAACCTGGCGGACACGTTACCTCCTGCGAGCCACACGGACGTCTCCGGCGCCGGAGGACTAAAATAATGAAAATTTTTTACTTATGGGACTAGTTTGTGACATGCTCCACCTCCAAGACTAAAATAATAAGAAGATCTAGTTATGGGACTAAGAAAACAGTTTATCCAATATATTTATCTTTTTATTTGAATTATGTGATAAAGTTAAGTATAATATTTTTTAAAAAAATTAAGTTAAATAATCTATTTAAATATTGCAAAATATAAAATTGAAAGATTAATAAATAATAATACTAATAAAAAATTTGGTAAGATGGCAAACCAGATCCGTACGGTGTACGACACTATACTGGCTGATCCTATCTACTTCATATACAATAAACGTACCTGTTTCTTAGTACAATTTTTTTTATACCAACATGTAGAAATAAACGACAAAAGTATTAAGTTCGTTCTTGAAAACTAAAGAATATTTAGTCGGTATCTTTTTTAATAATAATTGTAACGTGATATTTTATTAAATAAAATAATACTACTTCCACCCGGATAAAGGTATATATATTGTTTTATTATGAAATTTTAAAAATAAACATATTTTACTTATAATAACAGATAAAATTAAATTAAAAATATTTTTATTTTTACTTTTTAATGTAAAAATAACAATATCGGGAAAATAAATGTATTTATATTGAATAATTGAATCTATAATTATTAAAAATATGGCGGCAACTAAATTCAGCATTGTGTTGTTTGATAGCACATATTACTATATACAT